GAAACCGAATCAGAAACATTTTCCCAACGGGAGTGGCCTCACAGCCTGGACTATAATAACAATAATATAATATAAAAAATCACTTACCAGTGTAACTATATCCCCTTTGCACTTGTCAGCAATCTGCCTCAGCCGGTCATACAAGAAGTCCACCAAGTACTGGTACCCTCTCATTGAACTCGTCCAGCTCTTTGGCCACGAGATCGGCTCCGGAAGGCTGCCGGCTGTTCCAGACCGCAGCGTTGGCATCCAGAGAAGGCTGGTACTCGAGCAGAGCTTCGCGGAACTTCTGCGCCCCTTTGCTCCATATCTGGTGTTAGGGTTAGAGAGGTTATGTTAGGTTAGGTTAGTCAAGTCAGTGCTATGGTGATATAAATAGGGTGAATATATAGTTATGTGTGACGAATTGTAAGCGAGTGATGTTTTGTTGGGTTTTGTATTTATAGAAACGTGTGTGTGAGAGAAAAAGACTAATCGGAGGTAAATGAAGTTGTTCTTGGTAATAAAAACTAATAATGTACAAAATGTTTTCATGTTTCTTATATACATTTTCACTATAAGTAGTGATATTAATTTATTAATTTTTAAGTACTATGAAAATGGTATTTGTATAGATGTCAGTGTATCATATTGTAGTATCGTATACCACTGCATTAGGTTAACATTTCTTAATTGCGCATGATCAGGTTTTTTTAGTTCAAATCTCTACAGAAAAACAGAAATATTTGTTCTATTTACTAATTAATTATTTATCATTTTTATATATTTTTTTACTAACAACGTCCCTTATAGCACGGCTATGGCTATTAAACTCGAGTGATCAACAATATCATTGACTAATGTGTTTGGTTAGGCAAACATCGTTCACTAGCATGTAGCAAATTTTCACCTCTAAAAACCTCACCCTACCTCTCAAAATTCGACTTCTGGAATGTTATGTATTCCCGGTTTTGTTATATGGAATGGAGGCGTGGACAATGACCGCAACATTAATGAAAAAAGTAGAGGCCTTCGAAATATGGGCTTACCGACGTATATTACGTATATCCTGGACTGAGCACGTGATCAACGAAGAGGTACTACGCCGGATAGGTAAAGAGAGAGAGGTAGGAATAAGTATAAAGAAAAGAAAGTTGGAATACTTGGGTCACGTTATGAGACATAATAAATACCGAATACTACAGCTGATCGTTCAAGGGAAAATAGACAGCAGAAGGGGTCCAGGGAGGAGAAGACACTCGAGGCTCCAAAACTTGCGGCAATGGTTCGGATTGTCATCTGCTGAACTATTCAGATCCGCCGTAAACAAAGTCAGAATAGCCATGTTGATTGCCAACGTTCAGAACGGACAAGGCACATGAAGAAGAAGAATGGGTTTGGGATACCTTAGAAAAGTGAATGTCTTACTAGATGCAGTGAGTGATGAAGTGACTTACAAGATTATTAAAAGTTTGCCTTTTCTGTTCTTATGAGTTGTTATAAGAGAGGAGGAAAAACGCAGTTTTTTTTTAAGTAAGCATCATAAATTTAGTTTTAGAAGTTTTATATTACTATTGATAAAGTTGGTCCTCTTGAATGACCAATTAAAACTTGGTGAAAGTTGTTTGTAACTCGTTTGAAATGTTGACATTTAGAAGATTGTTAAGGATTCCATGGGTAGATAAAGTCACGAACACGTATTAGGGAGAACAGGCAGAGAGAGAGGGAAATACAATAAAAAAAAAGGAAATTGCAAAATGTGATGAGAGGCGAAAGATACAATATCTTGAAACTCATAATTCAAGGAAAAATAGAGGGTAGGAGAAGCGTAGGAAGAAGACGCGTTTACTGGTTGAAGAGCCTAAGAGAGTGGTTTGGTTGCAGCTAAAGGTAATTGTTCAGAGCAGCTGCCTCGAAGGTCAGAATAGCCATGATGATTGCCAACCTTCATCGCGGAGATGGCACTTAAAAAGAAGAAAGTTGTTCCAATCTGAAGCATTACTAAAAAAGTGGAAAGCTAAGGAAAGCCAATATGATTAATAAGTTTTGTAAATATGGGTATTGCAAATATATATGAGGGAGCCAGGGCATGTAATGCGAATGGAAAAAACTGACTTAAGTAGAAATACGTTCCTTGATATAACCATTTTCAAAGAAGGAAGTCCCAGAACAAGGTTCATTGATAAAATCGATAAGGATGTTACAAATACGGGAATACGTGCTTAGCGGAGGATGGCAATGGATAGGAAAGACTGGAAAAAAATCTTGAGGAGGCTAGGTCCCACACACAGAGTTGTGGCCAGAATGATGATAATGATTGCAAATATGGAATATGGTTAACGAATGAGATCTATTAAAATAAATTGAATACTATGACAAAATGGCGGTTATTAGCATCAACTAGGTACATATTATTAACAGTTCCCAAAACTTTTATTATAGATAGCGTCATTATCGAACCACTGAAGCATATCCACTAGATCGATTTATTAGGCGTAACATATTTTACTACATGTTAATTTTATTTGGTGATAATTTATCGTGATAAGAGTTTATGGTAAATATATACTTGAGATTTTATTATGACTGGAGTTAATTTTAAAACGATGGCACAGGATATAAGGGGCCCTAAAGTGTTTTTCATCAGATTAAACATAAAAGATTTGGACTGGATAATTCAAGATGTTAAACAATAATATCTGATAAGATCCGGAAATAGCTATGAAATTTAAAACGTAAAATGATTAATAAAAGTGTTCACGCTACTATCTGATTTTAAGTTTATTTTAATGCATTTTCCAATCTGGCTCGAAGGACCATGGAATGACTTGATTTGCACTTCGCGTGTGCTGCTGGTAAATAATCAAACTTCGTGTGAAAAACTGAGTTTATTTTAAATTACACAATACATGAATATATGAACGCTAATAAATATTATGTCCGCTCGCTCTGAATGCTGTATCACCGGTCTCGTCCCGTATTTTAATGCTGTCGTATCCATTCAGCCAATAATAGGTAGGTGACCTACATGCTCAGCGTCTCGCAGGTAACCGCCCGTTTATTGTAACAGGTGTAGATTATGCGGGCCCTTTCTTAATTTGCGATAGAAAGGGTCGAGGTTGTAAACTAATAAAGAGTTACATGTCTTTTCATTAGTTTTTATACGAAGGTCATTTAGAATTAGTTCCGGAACTGTCTAAGGAATCATTTCTGTTGGTCTTTAATAGATTTATTGCACGAAGAAGCAAGCCTCAAAAGTTGGTTTCCGATAATGGAACCAATTTTATAACAGCTAGTTCGTAGTTAAAATCTTTAAGAAAATTTTTAGACCAGCACGCTCCCGTGATAAGAGAATCCTTGCTAAAGGATAATATTTCGTGGTTTTTTATACCTCCATATTCTCCACATTTTGGCGGACTGTGGGAAAGGGGAGTAAGAACAGTTAAACATCATTTCCATAGAGTTTTTGGAAACGCGCACTTAACGTTCGAGGAATTTTATTTGTTGCTTGTGCAGATTGAAGCTATAATAAGTTCCCGATCGCTTCATCCTTTATCCTGTGATCTAAATGATCTCTCCCCATTAACGCCTGCACATTTTCTCATCTGAAGACCACTTGTGACCAATCCAGATCCAGATTTGCGTCATATTCCAGTTAATCGGCTCTCAAAATTACAGCATATTCAGCAGCTTTCTCAGCATATATGGGAACGATGGAACAAAGAATACATCTCCCTCCGAACTACAAAAACGTACCAAATGGACTACTACTGATGGTGAAGTTGCAGAAAACGCGTTAGTGCTCATAAAAGAGGACAATTTACCACCATTAAAGTGGAAGTGATGGTGTCAGACAGATGGACAGACAATGGTATCATAATTCTTATTTTTCCAAGGTGTGTCCGTTGCACGTTTCGTATTAAGTGTATTTCAAACATTTGAACATTTAGCCGTAGCAGTCGATGACCATGTTCACGCCACTATCTATTTGAAGTTTATTTTATGCATTTTTCCAATCTGGCAACGTAGCATCGTATGCAGAGATTATGCCATATGTGAAGATTTTGATTATTTACCAGCGGCACACGCGAAGTGCAAATCAAGTAATTCCAAAATAAATTGGTATTTAACAAAAATAATAAATACAGAAAGTTGAAGTACTTTTGCAAGTCTGCAAATAGTTGACATTAAGTCAACTGTCAAATTCTTTAATATCGCCAATTACAAACAACATTTACAGGTTACTTTTACTTTAGATATTTTTTTGAAACCGATTTCCCGATTGGAAATACAAATGTCAAAAAGAAATAATATAGATAATGCCAATAATATCAGGTGTAATAAAGGTTTACTTATATGATATATACGATACTTGAACGGTTGTACTTTTTAATTTAAGTTTTTATTTAAAACAAATTATAATATACACATTGTATATTGCAAATTTGAAAAAAAAAGATTCTAAATTCTTTAAAGCTAATTTTTAGAAAAAAAGCCCTCCACTAACCCAAGATTTATAGTGCTAAAGTGCATATTTATATACATTAATTGAGTGACGTGTTGCGTGGAAGGGTTAGGTCTTGTTAAAATAAAATTTTAAATATATTTCGTCTATAAACTAAAAGTCTATTTAAAAATACATTTTGTCTGTTAAACATATAGATTTCTTTAAAATGGTAATTTTTAAGTCTGATCTAACTATGTATCTTCCATAGGAGATCTTAACAGAAAGATAACCAATGTCAACCCAAAAATACTCACTAGCATAGAATCCTTCGAAACAAAACAAGCTATGGTACAACTAACGAACAATAAAGATCCGGACCCAGATGAAATAATTTAAGAAATGTTAAACGAGGAGAGTGAAATTATTCTCGAAGAATTGAAAATTTTTTTTCAACGAATGTCTTCACAGAGGAGAAGTCCCAGATGATTGGAATGAAAGTTTGACAATGTTTCTCTTCAAAAAGGGAGATAGGGAAGATCTGAAAAACTATAGGCCAATCTCCCTGCTATCCCAAATGTACAAACTGTTTATGAGAGTAATAACTAACAGGTTAACGTCGAAGCTCGATAGCTACCAACCAGTAAAGCAAGCAGGATTCCAAAAGGGTTACAGTACAGCAGATCATCTTCTTACAGTCAGGACGCTAATAGAGAAAGCCAATGAATCACTTGAACTTATACATTGACTCGATTTGCCTGAAAGGCATTCGACTCAATAGAACATTGGACAATAAAGAGAGCTATGAAAAACTGCAGGATAGATTCCGGATACAGAATGCTCATACATACTATTTACCAGAAAGCTACAATGAAAATAGAAATAGATGCGAAAACCAAAGCTATACCAATCAACAAAGGAGTTCGCCAGGGAGATGTTATCTCACCAAAGCTATTCACACTTGGACTGAAAGACGTGTTCAAAGACATTAACTGGGCAGATAAAGGAATACACGTTAATGGAAGAGAACAAATAGAAGTCATTTGAGATACGCTGATGACATTTTAATATTTGCTACAAGTTTCGAAGACACAGACCATGATGACGCAACTATTTCAACTTCGGAAAAAGTAAAAGATAAAGAGGTCTTAAGATGAACTTGTAAAAAACAAAAATAATGAAAAATACAGCGAACCTTAGAGAAATAACGTTGAACGACATAAATTTAGAAACAGTAATCGAATACATCTACCTGGGACAGATAATGAAAGTTAACAAAGAAAATCAAACTGCCGAAATTACCAGAGAATAATATTAGTGTGGGCAGGATTTGGAAAACTGAGTTGGATCTTGAAAAGCACTAAAATAGAACAGTATTTGAAAACCAGAATTTACGATCAGTGTATTCTCCCTATATTAACGTAATGGTTCACAGACGTGGACACTCACCAAGTCTAATACAGATAAAATAGTAAAAGCACAAAGAGCATTGGAAAGATCAATGTATGTACGGGGTGACACTTATAGACAAAAAAAACAAACAAATGGATTAGAAGCAAAACTAAAGTAAAAGACACAGGAGAACATGCTGCCAAATTAAAATGGAGCTTCGCCGGACACAATGCCAGACTATAGGATAAAAGATGGAACCACGAAATACAACAATGGAGACCATGGTTAGGAATGAGAGGCAGAGGAAGATCACAAATGAGATGGGCTGATGAAATTAAGAAGACAAGGACATAACTGAAAGCAAGTGGCGCAAAACAGAAAACACTGGATTGATTTGGGGCAGGCCTATGTCTAAAGTTGGATTACTTAAGGCTGAAGAAGAACTATGTATAATCAATTATATTGCCAATACTGCAGGAAATATGGAATTTTAACGTCAAGAAATGTAATAAAAATAGAATAACAGGAAGAGCTTCATTGCAAGCTAATGAGTGGAGTTATGCTCATCTTGCAATTATTCCCCTTAGAGAACCAACTCAAAGTCAATGGGAATATTTGATAGTCAACTTTTACCAGCTTACTGCGAAGGTAATACTGGAATGGAAATGTTGCAAGAATTTTTTTTGCTCGTGCAGAGCAATAAAAAAATCTTGCACTGATTAATTTAAGTTGTCCATATATAAAAAACAATTTAAAATGCTGTGAAGTTGGTCTGTGCTCACGTTCTTGCATAAGTATATATGTTACCGAAACAGAAGATTTAGAAGATGTAAAAGAACATATTGAAGTTGGGGATGACGATAAACTCACAAAGAAATTAATTAAATGATATAGAAAATTATTATAAGTAAATATTCCAAATTTGTACAGGGTGTTTTCTCTGGGAGAGTAGAAAGTATCATACGTTAACTGAAAAAAGGCGACACTCAGGCCACCTCAAAAACCCCATATTTAATGGGACTTACTTCATCAGTAACAACAGATACTGGATGTTTTATCTATTAAGCCAATTTCTTATTTGGTCCATAATTTTTTTAACAGCACTGTACATTTCCTTATATATTTGGCCAGCGAATATATTTTTAAATAAAATTTAAAAATTTAATAAAATAATTGTATTTATAAAAGATAAGAATTTTTGAGATGGGGACCTCTATATTTGTGTTATAGCGAAAAATTTTACACAAAATGGAATAGTTTTCAACTCTCCACATTTCCATAATACTGGAAACAATATTCACATATATAAAAAAGATTCACCGACAGATTGCAGTAATTACCGTACAGTAGTATTGATATCACACGCGAGCAAAGTACTTCTAACCATCATCAAAGGAAGACTAAAATCAATTCTCTTACCACAAATTCAATAAGAACTATGCGGATTCGTCCCAAGTAAAGAAACAAGAGAACATATTCTTAATATTCGTTAAATTATCAAAAAATCTCGAGCATTTAATGTAGAAACATATTTAAGCTTTGTTGACTATTCCAAGGCCTCGATACCGTAAAATGGGATAAAATATGGCATAATATCATCTATTCTATTCAACATATATAGTGAAAATATTATGCGTTCAGTTTTTGAGGAATGGCAAGGTGGAGCAACGATAGAAGAAAGAAAAATCAAAAACCCACGTTATGCTGATGACACAGTTATATAGGGTTCATCACCAGAAGAACCGGAACAAATTATGAATATACTAGGCACGGTGAGTACGTAGTGGTCTACCGTAGAATTTTGCGCATATCATGGACCGCCCACCGCACGACTAACTCAATTAGATTCATCACAACTATCAACCAAACTATACTGAATTATTTTGGACATATAACTAGAAGAAGAGAAGGCATAGAGCGAATGATAGTTGAAGGTAACGTAGCGGGTAAAAAATCCAGAAGATCTCCAGTACGATGGTCGGACCAAATAAAAGGACACGGCTGGTTACTCATTCTCAGAAGCAAAACAACACGCACAGGAGAGAGATAATTGGACAGAAATAGTTAAACAAATTACGTGACGGCACTACATCCTTACCAAGGAGAAAATATAGAGGAGGGGACCCTTCATACATACAGCAAGCGGACTATGTGGGCATAAAATCTTTGAGACAACCTTTTTTGACAAAAGCCACCCGGCTAAATCGGTTTATTGAATTCAATATTTAAAATAATGCAGGAAGATCGTGCACAGATGCAGTATTCATCATAAAACAGATTACCGAGAAAGCACTAGAGTATAACAGACCAGCATTCATATGTCTAATAGACCTGAAAAAAGCGTTCGATAAAGTAAAGCTTAAAGATGTAATTCACCTTCTTTACGATAGAGAAATTCCACTAAATGTTATAAAAACAATAGAGAACATTTACCAGAACAACAATATGGAAGTTAGAATAGATGACCAGCTTACAGATCCAATAGATATGGGCAATGGAATAAGACAAGGAGACTCGCTTAGTCCAACGCTATTCAATCTAATCATGGATGAAATCATCAATACTATTAATAAAGGAAGAGGATACAAAATGGGGAACAAAGAAATCAGAATACTCTGCTATGCAGATGATGCGGCCCTAATTGCATCCAATGAAGACGATCTACAAAGACTAACCCATAGATTCAACACAAGGGCAAAGGACTTTAATATGGTGATCTCTACACAGAAAACTAAAACAATTGTAATCAGTAAAGAACCAATTAGATGTAAACTGGAAATCGACGGTATCAGCATTGAGCAAGTAATAGAGACAAATTACCTAGGAATTACACTGTCTAGCTACGGAGATGTGGAGAAGGAAGTGAAAAATCAAGTACAAAAGGCTAATAAAATAGCAGGTTGTCTTAATAACACGATATGGCGCAATCCCCACATTAATACCGACGTGAAATCAAGAATCTACAAAGCAACAATAAGACCAATAATGACATACACTTCAGAGACAAGACCGGATACCTCCAAAACTCAGCAACTACTAGAAACAGCGGAGATGCGTTTTACTGAGGAGAATTACAGGAAACACACTGAGGGATCGAATGAGGAGTGAAGAGATCAGAAGAAAATGCAATATACCAGATATAAATGAGTGGACACTGAACAGAAAAAAGAAATGGAACGAACACATAAACAGAATGGAAGAGACCCGATTAGTCAGAATAGCGAGGGACAAATCACCAAAAGGTAGAAGAAGTATCGGGCGACCACGCAAAAGATGGAGTGATAACCTCCAATAGAGGCATTAATCGACATTGAACAAGCATTTTGCTTATAAAAAAGAAGAAGAAGAAAATAATTACAAAATTATTAATAAGATTAAAAAATATTGCAGAAAGTATTATAGCAGAAGAACAAGGTTTTATTATAAGAGAAATTATCGAAAAAATACAGTTGCTAGTTCTCTGATAAGGAATCTTCATGAAATAATATAGTCCAATGTAAATATTCGTCGAAAGACAGCTAACAAACGATAATCATCTCCTTTAATTATAACACCATGACGGTAATTATATATAAAAATAAACAAGTCAGGTCAGATTTAAATATCACTTTTTAAAGAAACATTTATGAAATAACCACCACATAAATTATATAAAATCTTCAAATTTAGTTGATAATCTTCACAAATTTGCAAAATTATCTGCATAACCGTAGATACGTATGTACATTTGAAAAAAATATTTACCAAATTAAAACTTAAACAAAGATTCCATAATCTAAACTTCAATAACCCCGTACGATTAAGTCTTTTTGATGTATTTATTTATAACCAAAAATGTCTAATTTATCAAATTAAAAGTATAAAATAATTTTATTACAACAAATATTTATTGCATTTTGATAATTATTTTTGATAGTTGTTCAATCGACATCATGTAAATTCGGAGAAGTACAAGAGAAGTGATCTCTTAATTAACTTTTATTATAACACTTCATAAATTATTAATTAGATAAATGTTAAAGTGATAAGAACAAAAAGCAATATAATTAACTTTCTGACAAATACTTTATAAAAAGAAACAATTAATCAAATCAATACAGAAATTGCAGTAATGTGTATAACTGTATTTTGTTGAAAGATCTTCACTGAAGGGCTCTATTTATCAGCGTACTACTGATCCAGCGATAGGCTCGATTGACTAATTCAAAGTTGCAGATTCACTTTGGATGTGATACTAGTAATTAGGAAGTTTCTTGCAATCGGAGGTTGGCAATTATCATAACTTCTGAATAACTGTCACTCAGGCCTAATCAAAAATCTCCACTAAGCGTTGGTGTTAATTCGTCCCTAAATAATACGCCCATATCTCTCTGCTCGAACTGTCGGTGTCAAAGTGACTGACAAACTATTCACTGTCTTCATTTCTCAAGCAGGAGTTCCACAGGTCTCAATACTAGCGCCTATACTTTATACATTTTACAAGAGCGACCTACCTCTCCCTAACAACAGATCCGAAAACATTCTTCTATATGCTGGAGTACAGCCCTATTCTTCGCAGGACTTCCCTACCGGTATGAAAGGGAACGATCTGTATTCGACAAGGTTCAAGCACACCTCGA